TGCTGGGGCAGCAGCTACTCCTTTAACACTGGGCTTGCTGCATAGGCGAGCAGCTCTGACATGAATTAAACCTTCTGCTTGGGTTAGATTTACAGTATCTAATGGACTCGTCTCCATGTACTCTGTGAAAATGTTTGATATTACTACTATTTGGGGTCATTGTTTGGTAGCTTCAGTTGTGTTACTTATATATGTTACTTATTTATTTCAGGCAGTCCTTCTACTAGGACAACACTTAAAAACAAAATAAGGTGCATTTAGAAAATGTAGGCAGATAATACACATTACTTAGATAAACCTGGTGGCAAAATTCAGAGAAGTGTGCTTATAAAAATGTTGTTAGTGAAAGTGTGCTGTTAATACTTTGGGAGCCACACATCTAAGAAGTATGTTATTTAGTGCCAAGTGCCAAGGAAATGAATGAGGTGTATCAAAAGGAATTTTATTTTCTTTATAGAGCTTTTATAGTGTTAGCCAAAAGTTCAACAGTCAAAACCACATGGAAGATCAAGAAACAGTAGAAAAGTTTAGTAGGAGAGCGTGAAAGAGGCATTCACTTTGGAGAGGCTGTGGTAATTTATTATCATCATCGGACTAATTTTTTAGTGTTGCAGACAAGTAATATTTGGTTGAGTGCCACAAGGAACAGTAAATACCACATCATAGGAATACACATTGCTGTTTCCTAGAAGTTGTAATAGTCTTTATGTAACCTTTTCAGAACTTCAGAATGCCTCATTTCCTGACAGCTGTTCCTATTTTCAGTAATTGTTGGAACTTTTTGCACATTCAAATATACATTCATATATTCTCAACTATATTAAAATGCTTTATAACTCATTTGCCTGTTTGAAGTTGCTTTTAAGCAACATTTACGGTGCTTTTAGGCAGTCAGCTGAATAATGTAGCATGGTTGTTTGTTTATCAGGTTTGAATTCATATTTAGGAAAGTGACTCCTTGCTTGAGCTGTAGGTTTTTCTTCCCACTGTCAATTTAATGAAATTCAGGCTTTTGCTTGTACTTAATCACGTACACACTAATGCCTAGAACAGTGAAGACTGTGAGTGCATAGCAAAGTATTGTTTCTGGGAATTGTCTGTACTACAGTTACTTGTTATTGTTTACCGTACCAGAATAGCATCATTGCTCTCCCTTACTTTAAGACTTCATCTTTTCTGTACAGCTTTAAAGACATAACATGTCTGGGAAAAACCTTCTTGAACATTACCTTCAAACATGTGATACAGCAGCCTCACTGAGCCCTTAAAAGCAGTAAGAATCAAAATGCATAGTCACCAGTTCTCAATTTTCTGCATAATCTGATTTTGGTAGCTCCGAAAGGATTTGTCTTAAGCAACACTCTCAGGAATTGAAGGATACTACTAATATAGACCAGCCAGAAGCAGTTTTGTACCACCTTAGGCTTTCAGAAACTTGGCTTTTTTGTTGTGCTCATGTTTGTATCACTTTTGTTCTTTTCACAAAAAATGTTCAGGTGTTCTTTGATGTGAAGATTGGAGACAAAGATGTTGGCAGAATTGTAATTGGATTGTTTGGAAAAGTTGTCCCAAAGACTGTGGAGAACTTCATTGTGCTGGCAACTGGAGAAGTACGTTTGCTGTTTTCTTTTACTGTGTACTCAAGTTTGGATTGGGAAGTAAATATTTGTTTAATGCTGTTTCAGTTGTGAACTGTCGATCTTAATTCAGTGGAGCCTCTGCAAGAGTGCCATCCCCAAGGCTGTGCTCTGGTGTGTGTCCTCTCAGGTCCTTGGGGCTTGGTTCACAAGATGTAATTAGGAGATGTTGGATATCATCACCTCAATCTGTTCCTGCCATGCAGATTTAGCATGTAGAGGTACTACGGTCAGATAACAGTCAAATAAAGAACAATGGCTTTGATCACCTGAATAATACCTGCTTTTTGGCAGTGCAACCCAGCTGCATTCACCTGCCTCTCAGTTTAATTTGTTTCTTGCCAGTGTTTGTCTCTGATGGTGGTATATTCTGTGAAATTTGGCCATTTACCACAAGTGTATTTCCATATGATTGTACAGAACTGGATGTTATGTTGATTTAAATAATTATTTCATTTTCTTAGAGAGGATATGGATACAAAGGAAGTAAATTTCATCGTGTGATCAAAGACTTCATGATTCAAGGAGGAGACTTTACAGCTGGAGATGGATCAGGAGGTAACATCCTTAGTATCTTCCAGGTTCCCTTTCCTTTCTTTGAATGCCTACTGAAAAGATGGGCAAAACAGTATAGTCTCTCATTCCTTCAGCTGACATAAATGAAAATATACACACATTTGTTTAGAGCATCTAGTACTTTTCTTGGAACATAATCTGGAACAAGCATCTTGGAACATAAGCTGCAATTATTTGGATTACTTGATTATAAGTATGTGTAGAGCTTCCTTTGTCCTCAGTTTTTTGCAGATAGCTCTTTTCTGTCTGTGACTTGTCCCCACTCAAGCAGCATGGCGTTGCGTGGTGGGTGGGAGCCACGTGACCAGCTGAGCTGCTCCTGCAACAAACATACTGTCTCCAAGAGATGGAGGTCTGCACCCTTCCCCTGGTCTGGCTTTACAGCAATGCTCCTTCCCTGAGGTGCTCATCGATTGCATGTGTATATGAACCAATTCAAGTCATCCAGTAGAAAACTAATCCGCGATGAAACAGTGAAAGCGCATAGCAGGAAGGCAGGTAGGGAAGGAGTAGGCTGTCCTCTCTGCCCTCAGCTCAGCCAGTTCTGTGGAACCTTCTGAAATGTGCTATGAGCTTGAATTTCAAAATGGGTAGCGAAATTAGAAAATCAAGGTCATGACCTCTCCCCTTTTTTCTCTTACTAAATTTAAAACCATAAACTTACTGGTGGTGTGAGTTCTGGCTGTGTGTATCACTTCTACCTTCTGAGCCTCCAGAATACTAGTTTAGTCCACTAAGGAGAGCAATCCCAGTGCAGCATCTCTTACATTGCATGTGCTCTGGCTACTGATTTCTTCTCTTCCTTTACATACACATTCTTCATGAGCTACTATTTGAACTGTCTGCATGAAACGTTAGTGATTTCCCTGCTGGGACAGAATGGAAAACACACACTCCTTTTCCTTGCAGGGAACAATGGGTAAGGCTAAAATACCAAAGACACAGTTATATCATTAAAGGTAGGCAGTGTTTGTTTGCCTCCTAATACTGTTAATTGAGGTAGTATCTGCCGTGTGTTGGGAGCAGTGTCCCCATTGTGCTAGGCACTGTACAAATAAAGAACGTGACAGCCTTCTCTTTTCAAAGTGATGGTGGTTTAAATATGACTCAAATGTTTTCTTCTGAACTATTTTAGAAACATAAAAGTCCTTATGTAATGTTTGCACAAATCCACACTGAGTCTTTTAGGCTAACTTCCATTTGGTCTTTATGTATTTCTAAACATTTCTGAAGCAATTTCTTATTAGGAGGAAAAAGTTGTAAAAGCAAAGACTAAAATTGTTACAAAACACAGCAACCTTATTTTTAGTGGCCATAATTACAATGTTTGTCAAACAGGGTGAAGTATACTATTGTTCGGTGGTGTATGAAAACAGGACCTTTGAAGGTATTCAGCTTGCTCCTTAAATTCAAAGGATAAAGCATTGTCAGCTTTAAATACTCTCCCCTTATATGTTGTGGTTTAGCTTATCTTTTTTAGCTGTGGAATCATTGATGATGGAACAGTTGCTGTGCTTACTCAAACAGTCTTGAAGTCCTGAATTTATAGGTTTTTTTCCTCATTTTTGAACAAAAAGGGTTGGTTTGTGTGTTTGGTGTTTGTGGGTTTTTTTAAAGTTTGCTTTCTTATTTTGTGTCGTAGGAAGAAGCATCTATGGAGAAAGGTTTCCAGATGAGAACTTCAAGCTCAAACACTATGGAATTGGATGGGTTAGCATGGCAAATTCTGGCCCAGACACCAACGGATCCCAGTTCTTCATCAGTGTGACAAAGCCTTCCTGGTTAGATGGAAAACATGTAGTATTTGGCAAAGTCCTTGATGGAATGGTAAGCTAAAAGTAGTAGCAAGATTAACCAAGAAAATCTGGACAAATTCTGCCACGTTATATCTGTGTTAGTGTAACTTACACCATTGTGGTTCAAAACAATTGAGTGTTTATCTAATATGTACATGATAGAAAACGATTGTGAAGACCATGGAGCTGGATGATTTAGAACTGAAATAGCAAATGGTGACTGCAGAAATGGAAACTTAAATCATGCCTTTGGCTTTCACAGCTCGTTTTGGACCACTAACAACTGAAATCAACACTGACACCTTTGCAGAATAAGTTCAGGTCCCCCTTTCACTAACGCTGTTAGCCATGAAATAATTGTATTTCTACAAGCTAAAACCTCATTTTGTAGCATGTGCTAGTTATGGGTAACTCTTTCACTGTAAGGGTTTTTAGAAGTATGTGAATGTAAATTATAGAAACACATATATTCATATCTGTTCAAAAAGAGGAAAAAAATTCTACTTAATTCACTCAAACTGTACACAGCTGCAAAAGTGATATCTCATTGCAAAGACCAAATAGAATTTAAGTTTAAAAATGGTAGTTCCAACTGATTATACTTTTAGTAATCTGGTTTTCCTTTTAAATTAGTCCATTTAATCTGTGTTTGGAAATGAACATGGGAAACATGAACTGCTGCACTGACCAGTTGTTTGAGGAGTTTGAAAACCTCATCAGAACACTTGGCGTATCCACTCATTCATATTGAAGTCAATTCTTATGAGCCACAGTAGTAGCTGGAAATTTTTGAGGACAGACTTAGACTAAGTTTTAATTTAGTTAGATCAATGAACAAATACGCAAAGCCAGCATTGCTAACTGAATTTTGTCCTTTAAAAATACTACTTTAGTTAGTTGCCAGGCATGGGGCCAGTAGTTTACCTGTACCTGTCTGACTGGAGGGCATGGTACCACGCTTAAAATCTCTGTCTTATACTAAAGGTAAAAGCAGTCATCAGATTTCTTGAGGCACAGTTATGCTGTATGATTAGAAAAATAATTACTGCTCATTCTTTATGATCTCTGGATTCACTTTCTGCAGATAGACCTTGTGTATGCTAGATCAATCAGCTGAAAGGATATTTTCCATTGCCCCTTCATAATATTTTTGTTGGCTGAAAGTTCTTATAGAAGGGCAAACAGCCTTCCATGTGCTTCTGTCAACTGTGTGTAGGTTGCAGAGCGGCCCAACTGTTTATGTGGAGAAAAAAAAAAGCATGTGGGAACTCAACAGCATAAAGGTCTTTGTTCAGAAGTTGCATAATAAATAGTAATGCTAGGAGTAGTTAGTTGTTTACCTTGTACCAGATTTGAGCCACTGGGGTTTCCTTGGCTAAACTGAACTCTTTTTTTTTTTTTTTTTTTTACAGTCTGTGGTGCACTTGATAGAACTCCAGCAGACAGATGAACATGACCGGCCCCTTCAAGACTGTGTGATTGTGAACAGTGGTAAAATAGCTGTAAAAGAACCATTTGTAGTTGAAGTAGGTGACTGGTGAGACCAACAGTTCGAATGGAAAGTAAAATTTAATCAATTTTCTTTAAGGCCTGTTTTTGACTGATCTTAACTATCCATTGAATTTTCTCCTCAACATATATGAGGCTGTATTTAGACGAGACTTATCATTTGCCAAATACATAAAAGATATGACCATTTCTACAACAACTTGATGGACCTTGACATATCCCACTAAATCCTAGATCTTGCAGAAAAATTTCAGAAGTACTTCTATTTTTTTCAAGATTTGAAATAGTCATTTTGTTGTCTTTGGAAATTTTTGCAATATTTGTTTCTGCCTTTTCAACTGAAAATATTATTTTCTGTAACAGTATCAGCATTTTTAAAAAACAAAAAAAAGTAAAATACAGAAATGTTTTGAATAAATAAACTTTAATTTCAAATAACTACTTAATGAAGAGCTTTTTTTATTTCCCCCCCAAAGGCCTTTTTTTCTCACCTCAGTTGATTCTGCAAAATATGCAGAGGGTGCTGCTTTCCAGGAAATGAAGTTGTAAGGTTAGAGCAGGGATGGCAGTTTTCTCAAATCTTAAAGTCCCTGCTGTCTTTCAAAAACCCACAGTATTCAGATACAATCCTGTCATCAGGAAAGAGCAGCTCTGGTGTTAAGCAAGATCATCAGTTAGAAACTGATTAAAACAGAACAGTCCTTGTTTTACAGCACAGTGATTTTTATAACACCTAATGTTATTTACATTAACGCTCAAGTGGGTTTTTTTGCAGTTTTGCTGTATGTCAGCGATGCAACTTTAGGTTCATTATTTTTGTAATGCTTCCTAAATAACTCTTAAGCTGACAGCTTACCTAGTAGCTTTTAAACAAGGTCAGCATAAGATACCACTTAGAAATAGCTGTGTTTGTTAATGAGGTTCCTTAATGAGTTACATAGTACTCCACAGGAAAGAGATGCGGATTTTTTCTCGAGTTTCCAGTGTTTCAGAACTCGAGATGGAGGAGCCAATGCCAAGATCCGGTGAAGGATTCATCCACTGGCACAGTGGGCAACACACAGCTTACCTTTGTAGTGACTCGTTTCTGAAGGGTGTCCTGGAGCCCATGTGAGGTATCCAGACTTCAAGTGGCACTGGGGAAGAGCGAGTACTACAGCACAGAGCTTGTAGGTACCTACTGGCACCTCGTTGCAAGGAAACAGGAAAGTGCTGTGGGCAGGGATTTACCGCAGGTCCTCCAACACCTCATTTGTGGTTACAGGGGTGCTTCTGCTGGTTCACCATCCACAGCCCTGGGGTCTCTCCTGAGGGTAAAGACTGACACTTCTTTTTGAGACTGTGAAAGGATTACTGTCCTCTTTAAAACAGAGCTAGGGGAGAACTTGTCAAGGGCCTCTGAATTTGCCTAGTACTAGGCAATGAGACTTCCATGTTACCCCTGTTCATTTTTCTTTCTACTAACTGTTGAAGGTGAAATTCTCTGAAAAACAGCACTGGGAAGCAGTGTTGGGAAGTAAGTGAGAATGCCTCGCCCTCCCTCGCCCAAATAGGTTTCCGCTAGTAGCTGAAAGCTCTCCCGGAGGGTGATGCCACAGACGGTGTAGAGAGCTCTGCTACCTGAATCAGTGTTGCAGTCACAGGACACCTTCTGTACAAGTCCTGGCTTGTCACCAGCCCCATGCAGGATCTAGTAGTCAGCAGGAGGCAACCCATGCGTCTCTAGGATCAGGCTTCTGTTCGTGTCTAGCTTTGCCATTACTGCTTTTGTGCAATGCAACACCTTTCCTCAGATGAGCCCACTGACATACTGGCTGTACACTGAATTTTCTCCCCCAGGACGTACACTTTTATAAGCCTGGTGTGTTCAGATAGCACGGTGCTGAGAGTTTTAAATGAGACACCCAGGTATTTTCTCATGCTTCATGTGGAGATATCTGTGTGACCCATGTCTGATGACACAAGCAGAAAAACATCGTTTGAATAGAAATGCACAAAAAGGTATACTGAAGCGGTACATCCATGTTCTAGTAATTTATTTTGTAATGTTCAGTAGCACACATACAAATTTCCAGTTAAATCTGAACAAATATACATACATATGTATCAGTTTTATCTTTATCATATTACTACTTAATCATATTCTTGCTTTAGCTTACCACAGAGTCCTATGCTCTGTGACTTATAAAATGTTAAGATATGGAATACAGTCTGTAAGTTGATGTGAAAACTAAACATACAGACAGATTAGATGTCATAACTGAATAGGGATGCATAAATGCCATTTAAAATCTCCTGGTAGATAAAATAATTTCAACTGAAATACAGAAAACTTCCTGAGAGAGTGCACTATGTAGTAGCATGTTTTCCAATAGAAACTCTCCATATACCTGCATTGGCTCCTTTCCTTTTCTGACAGTACGGATCAGATTCAAAATAATTTAAGAAAAATTAATAAAATACTTTTAAGTTGCTTTCAGTTTTTTCTTGCTTTAATTTTTTTTTTTTTTTTCTTCTGGGCAATTTCTCACACACTCCCTCTCTTCAGTGCCAGCACTTTTAATCCATCCATTGCCAGCAATGGGTAATGTGCTGGGAAAATTGTGGTGCAAAAAGGCTTAGTGTAATTTATGATAAAAATTATACAAATAATTAGTAAAGCTTTCAATTATTTTCAAAAGTTAGTGTAATTCAGTGTATGACTTTGAGCTTTTAGTGTTAAATAGTTACAGCATATCAATATATAGAAGGTATAAATAACTTCAATACCATTGTTTCCATATCTTTTTTTTTTAAAAAAAAGCAGCAATTGTAGTGACATTGATTTTATTTAAAAAGATATAATGCTTGAACTTAAGCTGAGGTTGTGCCTCTTGCTTCTGAGCATAATTTTCACATCACAGAATTTCATTCTTACTAATTCCATTAAACATGACTCAGAGACTTGATTCAGCTGCTTCTAGCCATGCAGCACTTCTACCTGGGCAGTAAATGAGGATAAAATATTCCATGTAGAATGCCTTCTATAACTACATTTGGAAAGTCATCTGGAAAAAAAGAAAAAAAAACCAAACCTTTCTTTCTTATCTATGTCAGTACAATATAAATGTTTTTGTGAAACTTAACTAGGTAAAGCCTCATATAATTTGGGTTACTGTATCACTCAACTGTTTATCCGTGTTGGGGATGTGCTATTAGTAATGCTGTTTCAGCACTAAAGCCACTTTAGTGTAGCACTGGGCATTGCATGAATGCGCTGCCAGATTTGTAGCTTATTGATTTAAAGGGATGTTCTAATACTTAATGCTGCTAGGCTCCAGCTCTTTATCTGAATCTTTTCTCACAAGGAAGATGGATTACACTGGCAATTCAATTTCTAACAAAATCTCAATATACTTGAAGGAATTCCAAGATTGCTACTGGGAATACTTCAAAGCTGTTTTTCCATTGTGGTTTACAGCAGTGTTGAGACTGAGAAAACTTGAGGATACCTATACAATCAGAGATGATTATATGAGGCAGGAAAATTTCAGGCTGGCTAATGAACATAAAATGCCACGTTACAAAAAGTCATCCTATAATATCTGAAGGAAAACCCCTACTAGATTCTTACCACAAATGTAGAGGAAACTGGCACTTAATTTTCATGTTAAATTTAGCACGAAATAATTACATGATAAAACACAGTAATAGATCCACACAGAGGAATGACAGGATGTACATTACTGCAGAGAAAACATGTTTTAAATGCACCAACTCCTGTGTTTCTAATGAAGGGTTTACTTAAATCACTGGGCATTATGAGTAAGAATTTCTGATCACATCTTACGATCTTAAAATTGCTAGTGCACTAGGAAACAGGTTCACCTAGAAAAATGGGCTATTTCTGATACGGAACTTTCCACACTAATCAAATCTTTCCTTCACCCATCAGCCTACAGGATATTCAAAAAGGGGAGATGTAACATTTATAAAACTCTATTAGATACTTGATAAAATAGATCACCTAATGTGAGTGGGAATTAGGTTTTGCTCCTAATTTCTTTGCTAAAATAATTTTGGAGGTAAAAACGTTGAGGAAAAAGTGGACTTGGACTTGGTAAGAAAAAATTAATCCTTTTTAGTGCAAAGGTGTTATAGTTATTAATAAAGGTGATTCCAGTCTATTAAAGATGTTTCAAACAGAGACATTTTAGGATGTTTTAACGAACTGCAACCTCCACCAGAAACAATACATGCATAAGTCTCCACAACTTCTCGTAGTAAGTCATCATTATAAATTACTTGTTAATATTTTGAATCCAATAATGATTTCTCAAGTCCTGCAAGCTCAGCTATCCCAAATCACCCTGGTAGAATAACCCTATGCTCTTGTCATTAATGTTATTAAAAATACACTTGTAAGGGCAATCTGATGCTTTCCTTCTAAATTAAATGCTGCAGTTCCAGAAACCAGTTTTTACTGGTTCTTCTATAGCATACAGTATATATAGGAAAATGAGTATTGATTAAAAAAATGATACAACTTTACAGCATCAGATTTACTGTGAGGCTTTGTTGCTTAAAAAAACCCAAGCGTATTAAGTTAAATGTATAAATACACTGAAGCAGTCTTGCAGATCTGTGATACTTACATGGCTTAAAGAATCGTCAGAACAATTTTCAAACAAGTGACAGTAAAACTGAGACTCCATTTTTTAGCTTCTAAGGTATCATTTTAAATTTGCAGCATTTTAGATTTCTTCATTTTTCTTCAAAATAGTACGTAATTTTTTTTCCCTACTCCCTCAAAAAGAAGTGGCAACCTTCCACAAAAAATGACATGCTTGTGCACTCTGACTGTGTTGGATACATCATGAAAAACTGAGTCTGAAAATCAATGAAGTTTGTAACTGCAAATCTTATTTTTGGAAAGTTGTCTTGCAACTCAACAATGCGTAAAGTCCAGTCATTAGAATAATGGCAAGACTGTATTTTACAAAGACAAGTAACAGTGCAATGAGGGGAAAAAAAATGTTCTTTGAGTATTATGTTCCAGAAACAACTATTTATTTCACAAACCCACAACCCACAAATACACAGTTTCCTATTTTATGGGAAGATTATCCAGGAGAGACTAACTCCTCTTCTGATCCAAACAACTGTCATCGTTCACCGTCTTCAAAGGGTACATATGATGAATAGCTATTTGCTAATGGATACGTACTTTTGGTCATACTTTGAACAACCTTGGCTGCTTTTTACAA